TGCAAGCTGGATTCAGAAGAGGACATGGAATGAAGAATATCATTGCTGATGTCAGATGGATCTTGGCTGAAAGCAAAGAATACCAGAAAGATGTTTACTTATGTTTTATTGACTATGCAAAAGCATTTGATTGTGTGGATCATAACATGAGATGATGATAACACTGGGAAGAATGGAAATTCTAGAACACTTGATTGTACTCATGAAGAATCTGTACATAGAGCAGGTGGCTGTTATTTGAACAGAACAAGAGGACACTGCATGGTTCAAAATCAAGAAGGGAGTACATTAAGGTTGCATCCTTTCACCATACTTATTCAATTTGTAGGCTGAGCAAATAATCCAAGAAACTAGATTATATGAAGAAGAATGTGGCATCAGGATTGGAGGAACACTTATTAACAACCTGCAATATGCAAATGACACAACCTTGCTTGCTGAAAGTGAGGATGACTTGAAGCACTTACTGATGAAGATTAAAGACTACAGTCTGCTGTATGGACTATACCTCAATATAAAGAAAACAAAAATCCTCACAACTGGTCCAATAAACAGCTTCACGGTGGATGGAGAAAAGTTTGAAGTTGTCAGGGATTTTGTATTACTTGATTCTACAATCAACCTCAGTGGAAGCAGCAATCAAGACATCAGATGACATACTGAATTTGGCAAATCTGCTTCAAAAGACCTCTTTGAAGTGATTAAGAGCCAAGATGTCTCTTTGAAGACTAAGGTGCGCTTAACGCAAGCCATGGTATTTTCAACCTGTTATACATGTGAGAGCTGGACAATGAACAAGGAAGACCAAAGAAGAGTTGATGCTTTAGAGTTGTGGTGTTAGGGCAGAATGCTAAGAGTACCATGGTCTGCTAAAAAGACTAACACATCTGTCCTGGAAGAAGTGCAGCTGGAATGCTCCTTGGGGGTGAGAATGGCCAGACTTCGTCTCACCTACTTTGGTCATATTGTCGGTAGGAACCATTCCCTAGAGAAAGATATCATGCTTGGTAAAGTGGAGGGTCAACAAAGAAGGGGAAGGCTCTCAACAAGATGGATTGACAGAGTGGCTGCAATGATGCGCTTAGGTACAACAAGAATCATGAGGCTGGCACAAGACTGGGCAGTGTTTCGTTCTGCTGTGCAAGGGTTGCAATGAGTCAGAAATGACTCAATGGCACCTAACAACAACTACTACAAGGAGACAACTCTTCCCCAATTTTATTTTGAGTGCCTTCTAACCTGCAGGGTGCATTTTCCTGCCCCATATCGCATATTCCACTGCTATTCATTGGGCTTTCCCTGGACAGTTTTTTAGGAAGTAGATCCCTTACTCCTTCTTTTTAGTTTGTCTTAGTCTGGAAGCTCTGCTGAAACCTGTCCACAGTGGCTGACCCTGCTCATATTCAAAATACCAGTGGCATAGCTTCCAGCATCACAGTAACATGGAAACCACCACCGTACAGCAAACAGACTAGTAGTAGATAGATACATAAACCAATGGGCTTAAGTTAAGTGTGTACATGTACAGTCAACTAATGTTCCACAC